TCTAACCTACCTAACCTGACACTCTAACACTACACCCACTCTAAATCACCTAACCTGACCACTCCTATCACCTATCCAGCCTCTAACATCACCTACAACCTGACCACTCTAAACTTCACCTAACTGACCACTCTGACTCACCTAACCCTAACTTTTGACAACTCTAACTCACCTAATCTTGGACCCTCTTCACAAACTGCCACTCTAACTTCACTAACTGCACTACACTCATCCCTACCTGACCATTCTTTACCTAACCTGACCACTACTGCACTAACCTGACCACTCTAATATTCACCTAACCTGACCACTCTAACACTTACCCAACCTATCCTGAGCACCTCTATCACTTACCTAATCTTACCTGACCACTCTAACACTCCCTAACCTACCTGACCACTCTAACACTTACCCAACCTAACCTGACCACTGTAATATTCACCTAACCTGACCACTCTAATATTCACCTATCCTGACCACTCTAACACTCACCTAACCTAACCAGCCTCTAACACTCACCTAACCTAACCTGACCACTCTAACACTTACCCAACTACTTACCACTCTAACACTCACCTAACCTAACCGCCTCTCTTAAAGCTAACTGAGCACTCTATCCCCTAATCTCCTACTCTAACACTCATCTAACTTAACTGACCACTCTAACCTTACCCTTTTCTAACCTGACCACTCTACTCTCACCTAACCTAACCTGACCACTCTAACACTCACCTAACCTGACCTCTAACACTCACTAACCTGACCACTCTAACACTCACCTAACCTGACCACTCTAACACTCACCTAACCTGACCACTCTAACTCACCTAACCTGACCACTCTAACACTCACCTACCTGACCAATCTAACACTCACCTAACCTGACCCTCTACACTCACCTACTGACCACTCTAACACTCACCTAACGTGACCACTCTAACACTCACCTAACCTGACCACTCTACTTACTCACCTAACCTGACCACTCTAACAGTCACCTATCTGACCACTCTAACACTCAGATCTGACCACTCTAACATTCACCTAACCTGACCACTCTAACACTCACCCTAACCTGACCACTCTAACACTCACTTTCCTGACCACTCTACAATCACCTAACCTACCCCTCTACCTCACCCTAACCAGCCACTCTAACACTCTCCTACAGTCTAACACTTACCTAACCTAACCACTCTAACATCCTAACTTAACCGCCACTCTAGCACTCACCTAACCTGACCACTCTAACACTCACCTAACCTGACCACTCTAACACTAACCTAACCTAACCTGACAACTCTACACTCACCTAATCTTACCTGACCACTCTAACACTCCACTAACCTGACCACTCTAACAGTCACCTACCCTGACCACTCTAACACTCACCTAACCTGCCACTCTAACACTCTATCCTGACCACTCAGACAGTCACCTATCCTGACCACTCTAACTCACCAAACCTGACCACTCTAACACTCACCTAAACAGCCACTCTAACACTCACGAAACCTGACCACTCTAAAACTTACCCAACCTAACCTGGCACTCAATCCTTACCTAATCTTACCTGACCACTCTAACACTCACCTAACTTCCTGACCACTCTAACTTACCCACCTAACCTGACCACACTAACCTTACCCAACCTAACCTGGCAGTCTATCTCCTAACCTTAACCAGCCACTCTAACACTCACCTAACCTGACCACTCTAACACTCACCTACTGACCAATCTAACACTTTCCTAACCTAACCACTCTAACATACCTGCTTACCAGCCATCTCCTCTCACCTACCCGCCACTCTCTCACTAACCTAACCACAACTCTAACCTCACCTAATCTTACCTGACCACTCAACACTCACAAAACCTGACCACTCTAACATTCACCTAACCTGACCACTGTAACACTTATCTAAACTAACCTGACCACTCTAACACTTACCCAACCTAACCTTACCTGACCACACTAACACTTACCTTCTAACCTGACCCTCTAATATTCACATAACCTGACCACTCTAACACTTACCCAACCTATCCTGAGCACCTCTATCCTTACCTAATCTTACCTGACCACTCTAACACTCACCTAACCTTAACCTGACCTCTAACACTTACCCAACTTAACCTGACCACTGTATTCACCTAACCTGACCACTCTGTATTCACCTATCCAGACCACTCTAACACTCACCTAACCTAACTGACCCTCTAACACTCACCTAACCTAACCTGACCACTCTAACACTTACCCAACCTAACCTGACCACTCTACTCACACAACCTAACCTGACCACTCTAACACTTACCCAAGCTAACCTGAGCACTCTATCACTTCCTAATCTTACCTGACTACTCTAACACTCACCTAACCAACCTGACCACTCTAACACTTGCAACCTAACCTGACCACTCAAACACTTACCCAACCTACCTGACCACTCTAACACTCACCCTAACCTAACCTGACCACTCTAACACTCACCCTAACCCTAACCTGACCACTCTAACACTCACCTAACCTGACCACTCTAACACTCACCTAACCTGACCACTCTACACTCACCTAACACAGCCACTCTAACACTCACCTAACCTGACCACTCAACACTCACTCTGACCACTCACACACTCCACCTAGCCACTCCTCCTCACCTGACCACTCAACACTCACCCCAGCCACTCTAACATTCACTCTTGCTCTGCCACTCACCCTGTGTGACCACTCTAACTCACCTAACGTGACCACTCTTGCACTCACCTTACACTGGCCACTCTACTCTCACCTAACCCCACTGCACTTCTTGCCTAACCTGACCACTCTAGCATAACCTAACCTGACCCTCTGCTTGCCCACCTAACCTGACCACTCTAACACTCACCCACTAACCTGACCACTCTAACACTCACCTAACCTATCCTGACCACTCTAACACTTACCCAACCTAACCTGACCACTCTACTCACCTAACCTGACCCTCTAACACTCACCTAATCTTACCTGACCACTCTAACTAACCTAACCCCAATTCTGGCTCACCTAACAGCCACTCTAACACTCCCTAATAACCTGACCACTCTAACACTCAGCTAACCTGACCCCTCTAATACTCACCTAACCTGACCACTCTAACTCACTAGCCTTGCAATCTACCACTTACAACCTAACCTGAGCACTCTATCACTTACCTAATCTTACCTGCCTCTAACACTCACCTAACCTTGACCACTCTAACACTTACCCAACCTAACCTGACCACTCTAACACTTACCCAACCTAACCAGAGCACTCTATCACTTACCTAATCTTGCCTGACCACTCTAACACTCCACCTAACCTTAACCTGACCACTCTAACACTTACCCAACCTAACCTGACCACTCTAGCACTTACCCAACCTAACCTGACCACTCTAACACTCACCTTCTAACCTGACCACTCTAACACTCACCTAACAACTCTCCACTCACCTAACCTGACCACTCTAACACTCACCTAACCTGACCACTCCTAACACTCACCTAACCTGACCACTCTAACATGCTCACCTAACCTGATCACTCTAACACTCACCTAACCTGACCACTCTAACACTCACTAACCTGACCACTCTAACACTCACCTAACACAGCCACTCTAACACTCACTAACCTGACAACTCTAACAGTCACCTAATCTTACCTGACCTCCCTAACACTCACATAACCTGACCACTCAACACTCCACCTAACCTGACCACTGTAACACTCACCTAACCTAACCTGACCCTTAACACTCACACCTGACCACTCTAACACTCACCTAACCTAACCACTCTAACTCACCAACTGACCACTGTAACACTCCCCTAACCTAACCTGACCACTAACACTCACATAACCTGACCACTGTAACACTCACCTAACCTAACCTGACACTGTAACACTCCCCAACCTAACCTGACCACTCTACACTCACACACCTGACCACTCTAACACTCACATAACCTGACCACTCTAACACTCACATAACTGACCACTCTAACACTCCACCCCTAACCTGACCTCTAACACTCACCAAACCTGACCACTCTAACTCACCCTAACCTAACCTGACCACTCTACACTCACCAAACCTGACCACTGTAACACTCACTAACCTAACCTGACCATCAACACTTACCAACCTAACGCCACTCTATCCTTACCCACCTAACCTAACACTCTATCCTTACCTAATCTTACCTGACCACTCTTACTCACCTTACCTTAACCTGACCACTCTAACACTTACCCAACTAACCTGACCACTCTAACACTTCCCAACCCTAACCTGACCACTCTAACACTCACCTAACCTGACCACTCTAACACTCACCTAACCTGACCACTCTAACACTCACCTAACCTGACCACTCTAACACGCACCTAACCTGACCACTGTAACACTCACCTAACCTGACCACTCTAACACTCACCTAACCTGACCACTCTAACACTCACCTAACCTGACCACTCTAACACTCACCTAACCTGACCACTCTAATACTCACCTAACCTGACCACTCTAACACTCACCTAACCTGACCACTCTAACACTCACCTAACCTGACCACCCTAACTCTCATGTAGCCTGACCTTTCATGGTAAGATTCAGGTTATGGTAAGGTCAACTAATTACAACAGGAAGTAAAGAAGGAGTTCGTAAAAGGGACGTAGAGCAAGGGAGAGAGATTATAATATTCTTGTAACATTTTCTTTAGTATTATGTGGTGACAGAGAGAGAGAGAGAGAGAGAGAGAGAGAGAGAGAGAGAGAGAGAGAGAGAGAGAGAGAGAGAGAGAGAGAGAGAGAGACCTTAACTGTTCTCTTTCTCATCAATTGATAAAACTCTTTCCCTTATTACATCTTCTTTTCATTCGTCTATTTCCCACTATCTTCCTCCCTCTTCTTCCATCCTCCTTATTCCACCTCCCACTCCTTTCTTCCCTCCCTCCTTTATAAGACTCACTAGTAATGCGGTAGTGTCTCAAGTTCTCCGCACTTCGCACTTTCCGCGATACGTCGACCTGTGACTGCGGCTGACAATATGTGCTGTGATCGAGGGAATCTGAGGCGAGTCGCAGGCGGTGACGGGAGTGGCGGGCGTGGGTGGCTGGACTCTGGTGGGCGGGTCTTGAGCATCTGTGTATTGGTGTCTGATCTATCTGCGGCACACTGATCCGACAGGCAGGTGGCACGTGAACCTGGTGAATAAACAATGAGTAATTCAGGAGGAAATGGCGAGTGTGGAGTGAGTGAATAATGAGTAAATGGTGAATGTGTGGTGAGTGAAAAAAATAATGAATAAATTATCATTGGCTTCTGAATAACTCATTAAAACAAGTCAAAACTAGTTAATAGTGACAGACTAACACAGACTTTGAGAAAACTGAATACCTAACGCGTATATATGTGTTACGCTTAATAGGAATAATTGCCGATTAGCGTGGGTCGTGCGTCTCTATAATAAAGGGTGTTGGCATTCGGGCCTTCTTTGTTGAAGGGCAGAAATTGGACAGTGATTACGAAAGATCATGGTGATCGTCTTAGTGATGTGAATGGGTAAATCGATGTAGGATTTTTAACATTATTCGCGATTGTATATTTTAAAATCACCCTCCACCGACTGGAGGTACAGCCTAGGTCGGGAGGCATACAACCACAAACTCATTGACATATGACAAGATTTATCCGGATTTTTTTTTTTTAATGAGTTGTGCTCATAGATGTGATTGATCATCCAAAGGCCGACCAGAGAGTGTAGTATTGCTAAGACAGTCCACAGTAACAACAGTGACCGCGGGGAAGGTTGTAAATAATTTGAAGTGAAAAGCAAATTGGGGTAAGCAATCAGTCACCATTGCCGGCAGTAACCAAGTCGTATTATTGGTGCCACAAAGAAAAAAGTTATTTTGTGTTTGTGCTTTGTTCAAGGATTGAAATTGTGCCTACAATCCACCATTCATAGGGAGATACAGTGTACCCAGAGATAGCTCATAGAGATGTATTCGTTGAGGAGAACTGGAAAAGAGAACATAAGTAAATAATAGTTAAAAAAAAAACAAGGCGGGCTGTCTCGAACGGCAATTATTGCCACCGTAAAGCTTACTTTTACTGATTTTTTCCTGTGTTTTCCAAAGGACTGAGTGTGCATATGATCCACCATTCGTAGCGAGATGCAGTGTACTGTACATAAGGACAGCACATAGAGATACCAACAACTCGTCGAGGAGAACTGAAAAACAAACAGAAGACACTTCAAACTGTCTTGGACGTCAACACTGGACGAACGAGAGTGCCAAGGAGGGTGACCAGTAGAAGGCAGCTAAGTGATTTTTTTCTTTTTTAAATAACAATGGTGTGCCACAAGGGCATGATCATTCACGCATCTCAGTTCACTTAGACTACAATTAGTAGAAGTGATTATAAAGGAATTCATCCCACTGAGGGGTAAATTTCTTCGCCAGAAGAAATTTAATGGTTGGCCCTGGCCTAGTCAAAGCGGCCGAGGTATGCAGGCAGTGGAGCGGGGCTTTTAAAGGGACCTTGACCCTAAAGCCCAGCTATCAAGACACAGATTAGAAGCAATTATCATAGTACTAATAAAGATCAATATAATTATTATTATTAAGCCAACGATTAGAAGTCCATCACATGGTAAACTGGTGGGCTTAAGGCTGAGTAGATCCGTACAGAGTCTGGTCCCCCCCCCCCCTTACTCCACAACAGCGACAGCCATAAGGTGTAAGGAATCAGGTGCTGAAGCGTCACCAGGAAATCTGTTGACATGCAATTACTGCAGGGCGACGTCGGATATAGATTGTGATGGTCTGAACGATCCAACGTTTAGGACGATACAGAATGCGGTAATGCAGGAAGGCTGTTGCTGGTATTGCCCTGACTTAACAGACAAAGTGAAAGAGACGATTGTAAGCCACCGGGAAACGAGTTTCCTAGGGACGAAAATAGATGAAGCTGGATCCTTGCTGGTTGCCAAAATACAGCAAGTTGGGAACGAGATCCTTGCTAAGACTGAGAAAGTAGCCAATAGAATGGAAGGGGTAGTGAAAATGAGTTATGTTCAGGCCTTAGCAGGGCCACAGGAGGAAGCGGAGAGTAATGCAGGATCTGAACAGGTTCTACAGCAGCTAGGAACTTAGAAGATGTGTGTCGAAGAGATGGCAACTAGCAGGCCTACTTCCCTACTGCTAGAGGAGAGGAGGAACAACGGGAACGTTTCGAGCACAGGAACAGCGGGAACGTTTCGAGCGCAGGAACAACGGGAACGTTTTGAGCGCAGGAACAGCGGGAACGTTTCGAGCGCAGGAACAACGTAATAGTGTTTGGAGTCCCGGAGAGCCAGTCGGAAGAAACTGAGAGTAAGGAAACACACGATAAGTTGCATTTTGAGAATATTTGCACAAAGGCTCTGAATCAGTCCTCCCTCAGGATGTGAGGAGGCTAGGTCAAATGCAGGAGGACAAGCCTCGACCCCTCAGGATCACACTAGTGAGTGAAGAGAAGAAATGGGAAATTATTCGGCAGGCAAAAAACTTAGCAAGGAGCGAGGCTTTTCGGAATATATTCATTCACCCAGATCGCACGGTAATGCAGAGGGGAACAACACAAGAAACTCCTACAGGGCTTGAAGCAGAGGAGGGAGGAGTCGAGGAGGAACGGGGTCGGGTGTACATGGGTTATATCCAGGGGGAGGGTGGTGGAAGCAAGAGTGCAGCGGTACACCCCTCACCTGCTCTACCTCCCACCCAGGAGGAAGTGAGCGCCATGTAAACAATTACATTTCTAACCACACCCTGCAAAATGCAGTGTATTTAGCAAATGCTGCAGCTGCTGAGAATGGGGGGCCGGAGTTACAACTAAGAGCAGAGACGCTACCGAGAACAAATTCCGGCTTCAAAGTCATGTACACTAATACTGACACGTTTCTTGATAAGAGAGAGGAGTTTGAAACACTATTAAAGGTACATCAACCCGATAAAGTAGGTTTTGTAGAACTGTTGTACAAGAACAGGAGAATCGACCCAGAGGAATGTGAGTTCAGTATTGACGGACGTGACTCATTTACGAACCTTTCTCAAGAAACTTGCAAGAGGGGTGTGGTTATCTATGCTAGGCAAGACCTTAGAGCCAGCCAGGCGAGGGTACAGGGAGAGGATGTTTTTGAAGAGTCCAAGTGGTGTAAAATTAATTTAAAGGGAGGAGACTTACTATTTGTCGGGTGTATCTACAGATCCCCAAACTGTAGCTTACTAAAGCAAAGGAACTTAAGAGCCTTAATAGACAACGCAACGATGCTCAACCATTGCCACCTTATCATGGGGGACTTTAACTATGTCGACATCGACTGGAGAAATGAGTCCACGCCAAATGACTTAAATAACCCTGCTACTATTTTTGTAGAAACTTTGAGAGATAATTTTCCGTACCAACATGTTAAAGACCCGATGCATTACAGAGGGGAGCAAACACCCATGCCACCGGACCTCATCATAACAAACAAGGAGAGCATGGTGGTACATCTAGCCCGTTGGCACAAGACACCATGTAATGTTGTCCTTCAGATTTAACTGTTACTTGGTTCACGACAAAACCAGGCCAAGCAAATATTACAATGGAAATTACGACGGGATGAGGACTATCCACTGGCCTGACTCGCTAATGTATAAGAACACCACGCTGAATATCATAGCCAGTAAAGTGAACCATTTGACCGAGATATATATACCCAAGACCAAACCCAGGCCTCTAGGAATACAAGGAGACCACTACACATGACCCATGCGGCGGTCGACAAAGTTAAGAAGAAAACCCATAAATTCAAGGCGTGGGTTAGGTCAAACGATGAGCAGGACAGGAGGATGTATACAAGATTGAGGAACCAAGCAAAGTCAGAGTGTAGAAGGGCTGAAAAGGAGTTCCAGAGGCTGGTTGCAACCGAGGTCAAGTCAAACCCAAAGGCATTTTACCGCTATGCAAAGTGGAAATTAAAAACGCGAGTATGAGTAGCAGACCTGAGGCTTGAAGATGGCAGTTACGCAGATTCTGACCAGGACAAAGCGGAAGCATTGAACATTCTGTTTTCCTCGGTCTTCACAAGAGAGGATGCGAACAATCTTCCTGCGTTTGAGGACAGACGGTTCGACACAGCACTGACCCACATTGTGTTCACAGAAGAGGGTCCATAAGGTCCATAAGAGTCCCGGCCCTGACATGGTGCACCCCAGAGTGCTAAGAGAGTTGTGCAACGAGCTTGCTGAGCCCCTGAAGGTCTTGTTCTGTAAATGCCTGGTTGAGCAAAAGGTCCCCAGTGATTGGAAAATGGCTCATGTGAGTCCTATCTTCAAGAAGGGCGATCGTCACTCCACGAATAACTATAGACCAGTGAGTCTGACCAGCACAGTATGTAAAATACTTGAGAGTATTGTAAGAGATGCCATGATGGAACATCTACTACGAAGCAACCTTGTAAAGGATTGCCAACACGGTTTTTTGTCGGGACGCTCCTGCCTAACATAATTACTCAAAGTAATAGAAGTTTGGACCCAAATTCTGGAGAAGGGTGGTAATATCGACAATATATACCTTGATTTTGCCAAAGCTTTTGACAGCGTACCCATGAGAGGTTGAAAATTAAACCGAAAGGGTATGGCATTCGGGGAAGTGTCCTAGCATGGTCACAAATAGTGTGTGGTGATTAATGGCACGAAATCATAATGTGTACCCGTCACAAGCGGTGTATTGGGCCTGCTGTTGTTTGTTTGCTTCATGAATGACATGCCTCGCGCCGTACATTACTCCATACAAATGTTTGCAGATGATGCCAGGTTATTTCGGGAAATTAAGAACCAAGCAGATTGTGAAGAGCTGCAGAAGGATCTCTGTGAGCTTCAAGAATGGCCGCAGAAATGGTTGCTAAGATTCAATGTCATGAAGTGTAAGAGGTTGCACCTGGGGCATACCAACGATGAGGAGGCGTATCATATGTCCCAACGGGACGAAGAAACTGCATTAATTGAGACTGAATGTGAAAAGGACCTAGGTGTGTTTGTTGGCAATGAATTGAAGTTCTCGGGCCATTGTGAGAAGAAGGTGAATGGGGCAACTAAATTATGAGGTCTTATAAAAAGGTCAATCTTCAAGAGTGATGTCCTTCCCCGTCTGGTCCCCGAGGTATGCTAGGGAC